GACATTCTTGTCACCGATAAGTACTTCCGCCCTCTCCATACATGAGAGTTGTATTACATTTATGGTCGAACATAAGTGGTGTAATAGTAAGGAGATCAGATGGAGTAAAGACTTTAGAATATTGTTAAAAATGATTATGAATTAATTTTCTGAGAGAGATATTGATTAACTAGAATCGCCAAATTTTACTTAGTATCCTACACAGAGATTTCTCTCAAATTCATATGCGAATTGCTAGAACATTCAAACAGTTTTCAAAGAACATTAATCTATTCCCTGAAAACGTTAAAAATTAGCTCTCTGTAGTCATAGGGCTATAAATAAAATGTTATTAAAATAAAAAAAAATATATGCTTATACCAACTACAGACTACACTTATTTTAGCTCAGTGAACTTTAATGAACTCCTAGAAGCAACAGCCACAGCAACACACAGGTCCAGACGGCTCTTATTGCTCTCGATGCTGTTGTTGTTGTTTTTAATAACAACAACATAACGAGCATACGAACGATGATGCTACTACTACCTCAAATTGAAAATCGAAAAGTTTTCGAAAAACAACATTTTGAAAAGCCGAAAATAAACTATATATATTTTTCACTACTGACTAAACGAAATACAAAAAAAAACTATAGAAAACTACTCATACGTTTAAGTATGAATGTACAATACAGTAGGACGGTTAGAACGACAGTCGGTCCGTCAAAGAGTGAGTAAGAGAAATATACAGTCATACATTATTACCAATACGGATAAGATGAAATATATGTATGTACAAACATATCTATACATATGTTTGTATACATACATACATATGTCAGTATGAATTCTTTATGTCGTCATATACATACATACAATATGTATGTATGTATTTTTTTATAAACTATTTTTGTATTTTCAATACTAGAATATTTCAAAATTCTAGTAGAAAATTTCTATTCTCTTGCAAGTAGTATGCTTGTTGTTTTTGTATGTATGTATGTATGTATAAATACTTGTAGATCGGTGTGTTCTCGAGTACCAACTATATTCGCTACGTACCAACCAACCATATTTTTTTAAATTTTCAATACTCGTACAAAATCGAAATAATAAACTCTCACATGTTGCACAAGTTACTCTCGATTAATACGATTTTCATATGTAAACAACTCAAAACGTTAAAATTTACTCTATTTTAAAATATTCTACGTTATTTTGTGAATTTATTCCTTTACTTTCGTTTTGCGGTATATTTTTATACGAGTGTAGTATTTTAGTATGTTTATAAATGTATCTCGTAAATTAATGTATTACCGTGTGTGTGTGTATTTTTGTGTAGATCAGTATGTATATGATTTAGTTAGTACGTAGTAATACGTGCATGTATTTATATTTATAAAAGTAGAGTATAAGTGATGACATTTAAACTAAACGAAACTACACTACACCAAAATAACGTCAAGAGAATAACGGAAAAAAAGAGCATCTATCGTTAGTGATCGATAAATCCATGTTGGATTCTATATTGTGTTGCCATCACGATTTCATTGCTACACTTCACATACAATTTATGTAAATCCCCATCTATAGCAAGAAAATGTTTTCAGAGGTCCAATCTGACATTTGGAAGTTTTTACTCTGATGCTTAAATATTTATATTTATAATATTTTTTTTAATTAGTAATGAATGGGTTTTAGAGAGCTTTAAATACCCCTAACAATAGGGGCATGTTACCTTGATAATCTTCCCCATTTTTTTGTTATTACAATATGGGAGAAAGAAGTGCAACCAATATCTCTAGTCTACCGGAACTAAAATGTATCCTCGGCCTTTCCTTGAAATGATTTGGCATTCAATCGAACCCGGCAGTCCCTTATAATAAGTACCCTCTCCTCCCCGGGGACATGTTACCTTAATGATCTTCGCCATCTCGATATTATTGCAATCTGGGGGAAAGGGGTGCAACCAATATCTCTAGTCTGCCGGAACTCAAATGTATCCTCGGCCTTTCCTTGGAATGATTTGACATGTGAATGATCCTGGGAACCTAATAATATGGCACCACCGGAATTGATAGCCTGCTCCCGGTTATTAGAGAAGTCCCTTTGGCCTGCAAGTGGTGGTTGTGATTTAAATTATAAATCGCGAGAAGAGAGGTTAAAAGACTAATAAACGGTAAAGTCTATAGTTCGGCACAAGTTCGGTACTGTTGCCGACAGAACAACAAATACGCCGCAGAGCAGAGACTGTGGGACTAAGAGTTGTGAATGAGTTGATGTCAAGTCTATATAATACGCAATGGATGTAGGGGAATAAGTGTCTCGTTCCATCCATATACCTAGAAAGAAAGTGGCGGATATTTTTTTCAATGAATGTGACGGATAAATGAGAAGTGTGCTGGGTTCTAAATGGTGTTGGATGTACGGTATCTTTAACAAGTAACGCCATTGAACTTCCCTGCCTTTTCAGGGTTAACTCTTTTCATAGCAGACTTACAACAGTATGTTCTCTGTGACTAAGAACTTGTCTTTGGCTTCTTTGATGGATTCGGATTTCGGTCTACCGACTACCGTATGTAGATGCTGTTAACGAATCAACAGAGTCTATCCCATCTGCCTGGTTGTAAACGGAAGTGATATTTTTGCATCTCGGAAGTTAGGCAACAGTACAGTAATGGTCAGAGATTAGAAATATCAAGAGTTCGAGCGAAATGCTTGCACATAAAGTATTTAGAGCAGAACTTGTTCAGAGGAAGAATAAAACAAATCTATAGAAAACCTTCCAAATTGGTTCAACAAGTCTACGTCTAATCAGATATTCGGTTACAAGATTCATTCATGATCTGGATTGATCGATTAGTAGAACCGGAAGGTTATCTCGGGAATCATATAACCCAAAGTGTTCTTGCTGAATTGCGAACGTCCAATGCAGGGTCCGGTATTCTCTGCAGGAACCTTGTTTTCGAAGTACAGACATACTTTTGGGGATTATTTGAAAATAATTATGTCTGACTTGGGTCGAGTGAAGACAAATAATGCAGTATTCACTGGACCTTAAGTATAGCTATAATTTTGAAGCTAACTGCATAATACGCGGTCGAAATATATCGTTTATTTAAAAATTCATACATTTCAAAATTTCCCTGTACTAAGCGATGTTCTGGGTATAATCTGCTGTTCGAAACATAAAGAACCTTCACCACTCCCAGTCATGACATTTGCTATTAGAGACCAAAACCCGACATTTTGAACAAATTCGTTACTCTTCAGCTTATGCGAATTCCAACTCGACGCTTCTCTGATGGACTCAAATATTGGAATTGTGGAAGACAATCTAAAACTTAAGTCTTATTGGGCGATAATACATCTAAAACTTAGACGAATGTTTACGGACATTGTGAAGATGTTCTTGAAAACAAAAACAATCCCTTTTCACACTGACGTTTTGCGATATTAACATTCTGAAAATATTCGCAAATTGCACGATGTTAAGCTTACATTTCCACGGTCAGAACTTCTGAGTTATGATCTTGTCTCTGATTTAACTTCACAGTACCTATATTAATGGATTTCATAGCTGTTCAGAGTCTGCATCAAAAATCTGATCTTATGTCAGTTGTCCATCTCCAGACTCAATGTAAATTCGCTCTAAGAGAGAATGTTCCACAGGAATGTTTTACAGGAGTATTTTCTGAGGATCGTTACTTACTGACTCTTTATATTTGGAAGCTGGATATTTGCTATGATAAGGGTGAATGATCGTGCTCTGTAGAACAGAGTGATCGAGATAAGCATATGTTTGTAGCGGTTATGTTTCCAGGTGCAATGTTAATCCATTCTAAGGGAATATGTTCCACTTTAATGTTTTCCGAGGGGGTTTTCTGAAGATTTAATTCTTTGATATTAGTTAAATTTACTATCATTTCAAATACACTGCGGTTTTGCATATTTACTATAAGATAACTGTGACTGTTCTTGCACCGTGAAAACAGAATGATCGAGATGAGGATTTTTCTCATAGATTTAAATGAAGTTTTTAAATTTTTTGGACATAATCTTTCTATCGATCTTTAAAAACAAATATTCAGATCAGCAGGATCAAAGTATATGTTTTCGAATTTGAAGAAACGAAAGCTACAACTTGGCCAATTAAACTGATCGCATTAAAATCTAAATCCCAACTACTAACACCCTTTTATGTGGCAACAATGCCGATTAACGGCGAGAGTAATTAATGTTCTTATTTAATGCATAAGTATGAGAATGTTTGCTTCTTCTTAATGTGCTTTTTTTTGTTGGTTTCGCTGTTGTTATTTTTTAACGATCAACGATCATCGGTATGGTTTGGTTTGATTTTATTTTGTGTGTATTGTTTTTAAATTTGTATTTTAATATATAGAAATGAATGATATGGTTGGTATAAGTATAGTATACTCTTTTAATAACAACAACAACAAGAACAAACACACACACTCAGTATGGTTCTGAAATAAAAGTTTGTAATACTATTTTTAAAACACAACACTCAACAACGTTCGTAAACCGATGTACGTTCATAATATACTGAAAACAGAAGGAAAAATATAAATAAAAACAAATACGAAAAGAAATATTGAAACAAACTGAATTCGAAAAGAAAAATGTTTCAGAAAAGAAAACACCATACACAAAAACTGTATAGAATAGAATAGAACTGAAATGAGCAACAGACATACGGATCGTAAGTTGGTTGCTTGGTTGGGTGTACAGATGGACGGACGGACGGCCAAGTGAGAGCAAATGAAAAAAATTTTTTATTTTAATGTGCAGGGGGTTATTTTTGGGATACACTTTTTTTCTTCTTGTATTTATTGCTGTAGTTAATTTTTTGAAATATACATTCTTTGCTGCTGCTATTGTTGTTGTTGTTGTATATTTCGTTAGCACAAGCAATAATAACAACAACAACAGCAATAACAATAATATGAAGAGTAGCAGTAGTAGCTAGCAAAAGTAGTGGTAGACGACAACGATTATTTCGTTGCCAGTCACAGTCGATAGATATGTGAGCTAACGATCGTTACGTTACGTATCTTCTCTCTTTCTAGTTAAACATTTTTTAAGAACATAAATACAAAAAAAAAATACAAATCTCATAATCGCAATAACGTTAAAAAGATCGGCTATTTAAATTTAGTAACGTTTAAAATATTTTCAAAATCAAACACAAAAAAATTACTTAAAATTAATTTATTATAAGAAAAAAAATTGTTAAAAAGTGTTGTTTACAAATTAAATCTATGACAAACATCTAGTCTCAATGTACAAAATAATCTGCTATAAAATCTTTGTCTACGTTTTTATATATTCTATATAATTTTATTACAAAAAAAAATACTTAATAATTACAATATACCAGACAGTTTTGTAAAAAAATAAATTTTATAAATTAAGCTAAATCATCAATTTTTTTTTTTTTTGAAACTGTTTAAAATACAAAAAAAGAAATTTTAAATCCATAAAAAAACATGCTCTTAATTAGTACTTAATAATTACTAGCAACCTGGATACCCTGGAATTTTGTTAAATTTAAACCAACAAAATAAGTGTAAGAATTTTTTAACATATTTATTTCTAATACTAAAGATTTAAATACAAATACCAAGTACAATTTAATTAAATAGTAACAATACTAGCAACAAAATAATAATTAATTTATAATATTTATTTAGTTTTATACATCTACTTTTTTGTTAATTTTGGCACATGTGCACTTTACTGTAATAGTGTGAAATATAATAACAACAACGACGTTCAGAGTCAGTCCGTCAGCCAGTCATACTTGTACAAATTTTACATTCACATGCCGAAAGAGTGTGTGTGTGTGTCATATGGTGTTATTGTACATATCCCTTCAAACATTTAGAAGACAAAACTATTGCGCATCACCCCCGACGCCACGTCAGAAACACTTCTGGACGATTGTCAGACGAGGACGCACATTTTACAAAAACAAAATACATTGATTTCGAATTTTCGTCTTCTAGAAATATACTTTTAAGTTACTTCCGGATTATAGTTAGAAGAGTGCATCCATTTTGCTTAAACAAAAAACCATGACTGTTGAATTTATTTCATCTGGAAGTATACGTTTTAGTGACTTCTGAATGAGAGTTGGGTGAGAACACACATTTTACAATAACAAAATACATTGTTTCCTAATTTGTATCTTCTTGATTTGTATGTTTATGTCACTTCTGGAAGACAGTTTGAAGAGTGTTCACATTAATGTTGTATTTTATTCATCTGGAAATGTGGATTGTAGTCACTTCTGTACGATTGTCAGACGAGAGCACACATTTTACAAAAACAAAATACATTGATTTCTAGTTTTCCGTCTGGAAGTATACTTTTAGGTTACTTCCGGATGATAGTAAGAAGAGTACAAAAACAAAAAAATATAAATACTCCATTTTTTAGCGTGAACGCGAAAAAATAAAAATAAATAATGCAGAAATTTTGCTAAGTTCAGTGATGTTTTGTGTTTTGTCCAGTCATGTTCAGTTTTAATTATTCATTGTAAAACTTAAATGAGTTATTGAATAATATTGATAATATTTATAGAAAAATAGTGTAATTAATATATTGTGAATCTTAAGTAATAAAAAAACCTATTTGACAGTGTTATGTTAAAACATTTAAGAAGGTTTTGTTAATTGGTGAAGTTTATTAAATATATTCCAAAAAGTAATTATCTTCAAGGATTATATAAATAAAATTAAAAAGTAAGTTGTCATATTTTACATTAAAATACTATTTTAGGAATAAGTTAACAACTCTAAACGGCTTCCATTTTCATTATTTTTAAACGAAGTCTAATATGTTTAATTAAAAATGATTTTATATTAAATTTCGTCTCTCTATTAATTGGTTTAGGAGTTATAAGCATTTAAAGACTTTTTCAAGTTGTACGTTTCGGCTTTCATTTGATGAATATTGCATTTTTAACCTATTTAGATTTATTTGAGTTAAAACTTAACTTCCAATATTTTTTAAACTATTTGCGCGTTTAGGTCCTGTTTCTAGATTACGTATGATCACTATGAGCTAAAATTTTATTTGTATTTCATTATCGTAACAAAAAAAAATGCATTAAAATTTTACTTAAGTATTTAAACGCTAGCTGGAATCATTATATTCAAATTAATACTACTGTTTTATACATAAATTATTTTTCGACTTCACTTGACACGAAATTGCCCATATAAGATATTTAATATTAAAATCAAATATTTTTAAAACCACCTTTTTTAAATACAATTTTATTAATTTTCATATAGCTTTGGATTTAATTATTCTAATTATAGGCCTTTACTAATATTTTTAAGTTTTTGAAAGTGTATAACTCCTTAATTAGAAGAGAGCAAACAAAAAATAGTATTGCAGTATTAGTGTCAAAAGCAATATCCCGTTTAGGGTCGTTAAGGTGTTTCTATCGTTAATGACTGTAAATAGTTTTAAAAATAATCCATGACTTAGTAATTTCAGATCTTTATAGACGGTTTAATTCCAAGTTATTTAAAAAATGTTCATGAAAGGTAACGTTTTTATTGATTCAAAACAATAAATAAATAAATAAATTTTTAATTATTTTATTTTTTTTTTAGAAAGCAGTAGCTAATATTGTACCCCCTATTAAAATACTTCTAACCAAATTAAAATATAAAAAAGGGATCTGGTAAGTCTGGTATATCTTATTTCGGTTCCATTAAAAATGTCGATTATTTGCAGAAAATGTAAAAAATGGATCTGAACGTTTAAATTTCGGTGGGAAATGATCAATAGATCATAAGAGAATCCCATTTTTATTGCTTCCTAAAATATAACAGGTAATTTCAATAAATACAAAAGTATGTACATATATTCAATATTAATTATAACATTATTTTTGTTTATTTCGTTGAAGGATTAATGCGTTCCAAAATATAACTCTTACAATTTGATGGATTGATCATAAAATTTATGAAGAACTACAAAAATATTTTAGAGTCCAACGTTTTACAATTTTTGGAAGTATACCAGTCAACAGTTGGAATATTAATACAGATTTCCTGAAAATTATCTTATTATAAGGTAATAATTCCAAATTTTTGATACATATGTACATTAGTACTCACTCTGTATGGAAAGCAAAAACGTGTTTTTGTTACCCCTCTCAAAATTTACCTTGCTTTGTTTTATGATAATTCCCAAAATATTTTAAGTCTAGCGATGACCGTTCGTGAGCTGGACCAAATTAAAAAAAATGTATTTTGGAATTATTTTTTTTTTTTAATTTTTGTTTGTTTTTTTTTTAATTTTGTTTCGGTCTAATGTACATATATTACTTTTTGCGATTAGTTGTTAAATCTGTTATTTTTTATACTATTTTTATTTCAATTATTTCAATAAAAACTATAAAATTTCATTTTATTTAGATTTATTTTTATAGATTTTATTTTGGTGAGTATACAAATAGAAGAAGAGAAAACTCATCTTCTAGAAGACGAGAATACTCATCTTCTAGAAGAAGAGAATACTCATCTTCTAGAAGAAGAGAATACTCATCTTCTAGATGATGAGAAAACTCATCTTCTAGAAGATAAGATATGAACACTTCTAGATGATACTAAGTAGTTACTTCAAAAAGTGACTTCCTAGTTACATCTAGAAGAGTCTTTGGCAATACCTTACTTCCAAGAGTCATCTAGAAGTTTCTTCTGCGGGTCTTCCAGAAGAATATTCCACGTTACTCTTAGACGTTCCCCAGCTCGGCATCAGTTCTTCCCGACTGGTGACAAGAATTCTTATACTTCCGCAACATCGCTGGCGAGCTTTTAGCACGTTTGGAAGTTTCATACGGGTAACTTCCGCAATAGAAAATGTTTGTAGGGTATGAATATGCATTCTATTAGGTGGCCACCAATTTATGAACATAACATCTCTGTCATTATTATAGATCTGTGTGACGAATTGTGAGAGTGCTAAGAGAAATACCTACATATGCCAAGCGATCTTCTATATGAAAAAAAGATGTTACTAATTTGGCAGCAGTATGAATCAGTGCCGCTGCTTCACTGCTTCTAGTATAGTTTCTCACAAAAAAAGTGATCATAAACAAATAATGAGATCTTTAATCTTTTTCAAATTTGAAAGAAGTTTGATCTAGAATACATTCCCGCCTTTTCAAGCTGATCTTGTTAAACATAGCACTTTTCCAAATCCGATTTTCAAATTAAATCTAATTATGTAGATTAGTTTCTCACTCTATTACCTAGCACATCTCCATCTTAAAAATTTAGGTCTTCTTCCTAGAAATGTAACCGATTTTTCTAAAGTAACATTAATAGTACCAGTGCAGAACCATATCCGATTCAAATATATAGTAGCAACAATTGAAGTAATGAGTATCGCCATTATCCGCCTATTTGTTAGGTTAAGTTGAAGAGGAGATCACATCATAGAGATCTGTATACGCCTAAGCCGCTACCAAGGCCTGGAGTTGTGCGCTTTTTGTAAGTAAGGCACCCTTAACCCTTTTACGTACAAAACCGCTGGATCTAATTTGGATCAAATATGTCATTGTTGCTCTATTCGTCAATGGGGAGACCTTGCTTCCACAAGGGAGACCTCTCCTTCTACTTTGGTTTGACTTTCCCTTATAAGATCTTTATGGGTTTTCCCACAGTTCCATTATTCTATGTGGTTGTGTGTGATACTCTTGCCCATGCTTTTAAATCCGGTCTCGTTGACTTGAATGGTTTCACATTTACCAGGTTAACTCCTTCAAGTGCCCTGCACTTACTAGCGAGTAAATTAGCTCATTCGTTATAAATAATGTCTAAGTGATCTGGTGTGATACAGAGTTTATCAATGTTGCGATCTACAAGACGACAATATATTACGGCTTCGGAGTTTTCAATACAAAACCCACAATTTCGTTCTATCTCCTTTAGAGTAGTCCATATAGTAACCGATTCCTACGGTTATTAGTTAAGATCAAATGGAACATTAGATCTCATAATATCCGACAATTTTTGTCTTGGTATTTGATCATATATATATGTCCAGTATTCATTGATGAGGTGACTAATTAGCTTTCAGCTTTGGCTGCAAGTGGCCCCTTAAATATTACATATGTTGCGATTGGGGAAATATTAAGGAATGTTTCTAGAGCTTGGATTCACGTACTGCTCATAGTACCATTTTATAAAAAAGTCCACCAGATTATTGATGACTATGTTAGAATTCGTCTTATCACGATTGTATGCTTTATGTGTCCTAGTAGTACTATGGCTCCATTTCGTGCTTATGGTTCTCATACATAGCGACCAGCACCGATGTGCCTAATCGATCCTATTCTATATGCTATATTCTCAAAAAACTGGGTTCAATAGAAGTTCGTCTTTCTTATGAAAAGATTTAAGTCTTCATCGGTTTGAGATGAGACCTCTCAGTTAAGCTATTCTATAAAAGTTTGATCCTTTCCCCTAAGAAGTATTACGCCATCAACTGAGTTTATATCCGCATATCTATGTATCTGTTGAAAGCATGATTAAAACTTAAATA